ACATGCACAGCCTTAAACATTGCAGCAGCAGTGGTCATGTCTCAGTGCAGGTGAGTGCTCAGTGGCTCTGGGCAGCTGGAGTGGATGGTGACAGCGTGAGCACGCTCAGCCCATACAACATTAATCTGCTGCCACATCTGTGCTTCCTGGGACATGTTAAGAGGACGTGGCAGGGCCGCTGTGTCTGTGACAGCACACTCTCTTGCCCATAAAAAGATGTGACAGCAGAGCCACATACAGGGGCCACCACCCCTGGACTCTAGGGGCCGAACACCATCGTCCTATGGACTTAACAGTGTGTACACAGGCCCCCTGTCGCTGGTCTTTAGAGCCTTCTCCACATCCCCTCTCATGACCTCATCCTGTCTCTTTTTCGACCAGATCCATTTTCTGAGTATTTCAAAACAAACTCGGCTCAAAGACACGTAAATGCTAAAAATATAAACATTTGGAGACGCTGACAGGCATGGAAATTAAAGAGCACAGATGCCACTTTAGCTTTTTCCCCAAAAGAGATGAGTTTCGGAGTGAATGAAACCAGTGTGTCTCTCAGTGTGTGTGTGTGTGTCTCTCTCTGTGTATGTGTGTGTGTCAGCGGTCTCTTCTGATCAAATACACTGGTGTGTAATTGGCTTCCTGTTGCCGCGGTGACCCCTGCAGTTAGATTGGAGGACAGGAGGAGGTTGCCCTGATGATAGTGCACCAAAGACACAAAATACGTTATGTTAAATGAAAAACATGTCGAGAGATTATGCCACATCACAGGCCTGGCTTAGCTTTCCTCTACTAAGTTGTCTTTAAAGACGCCAGGGAGATGAAGCGTAAACAGTGCAGAGCAGAGAGCAGGGCAGCCTATTACAGCCTTGCTCTCAAGGCAATGCATTTCAGCGCTCATTAGAGATTCATGTCAATCTGAGGCGAGTTGATTTGCTGATGCTGTTGTTCATTTGAACCTTTTCCTCTCAGTGGTTTCAGAAGAATTTAACCCAAAACATTTAATTAAACAGGTCCCAAAGTGCTTGTACAATGTTGATTTGGTGATAACTTCATCTCACTGCCTCAATAATACATATCAAAATGTCAACTATTCAATAACATCATTTTTAGTTTGGACATTAAAGCTGGGGGACCTAACTTTTTTGTTTCAAGAATAACATATGTTGGTCCCAACCGAAATAGTCGAATGTTGAACAAATCAGACCACAGCAACTTCATCTTATTAGAAAACATATCTTGTGCAGTAGTATGTTGGCTGGAGTTTTGTAAGAGATTGACAAGTTTGCTTACTCTATGAGGTGTTGTATAATTCTAGAGTTGTTGTGTAGAAGTTGTAGAGGTGTACTGACTCGTTAAGGTACATTGACATTAGGTCTTCTGACACAGCCATGTGCGCCCTCAGAGCCTGCTGGATCAGGGAACAGTGGGCTCTCTGTGGGATCTTTAACTGAGTAGAGGTCCTAGAGGAAGGCGAGTATGTTTTCAGTGAATGAAAGAGAGAAAGACCCGCGGCAGGTTGGTGTTTGGAGGGGAACAAAGCACAGCAGCCTTCAAGGATGAAACAGGAAGTTGGATTAAGAAAAACAAACTGTAGAAAGATGAGTGGGACCAACGCAGGCACTGGTCTCTGTAAGACTGAGCTCTTGTTTAAGCTGCAGCCCACGTGCACCTCTGGTATGCAGTGTCGGCTGTTGCCATGGAAAAGTAAGAAAGTGAGCAAGTGTTTTCTTTGTGAGATGGGGCAGCCTGTCGAAATGAAGCACCCTGACCTGATGTAGCCAACTAACCACTGAGATCAATAAAGTCACAACATAATATGCAGACATCCCTCCGCTTTGCCTCAGAACATTTTACAGCTACAAGCTAGAAAATGTTCAAGCAAACCATTTTCAAAGGCAAGTTTCTATGTATGTGTTTTCATACAGGATATGGTTACGTTATTGCTACATAAGTATAATTGTTTTATATAAAATGACGACTTTTATTCAAAGTCATATTTCAATGGATTTATAAATCACCATGATGTGGTGAACATTTCATGTCTACTTCATTTGAATTGGGATTGAGCACATTAATTGACATGCTTAATGTTAAAGCTGCACTAACTCACTTTGTGACATTTTCGAATGTGAGTGCTGGGCTCGCTCTAACGAAGACAGTTTTAGGTTCAGCTGTCTGTGCTAACAAGAGACCTGTAGATTTTCTCAAGAAAGTGGGGGCCAGTGGTCCGCTGTGATTGGTCACAATCTGGTCCCGAAACACATTCTCTTCCTTGTTGCACAAAAATTCGGTCTAAAATAAAATGACACGCCAGCACAAACCTGCGCTACTTATTCTTCAAAAGGACGTATATCCTAATGCATTGCATGGATATGGATTCCATTTTTGTAACGAATACAAAAATAAAGTGAGGTAATGCAGCTTTAATGTAAATGTGCGATATAGAGAGATATATGTAGGTATTTTACTCCCAGTTTTGTTTGGTCAAGTAAACACAAAAAGCAGGTTTAGTAATTTATGAAATTATATTTTTTTCATGTTACATTGAACAATAGTCTACTTGTATAGTAGAACTTAATAGACTGAATTGAGTTTGATCGCTTATAATGGAGTAAATGTAACGATTTCTGAAGATGCCCTGTGCCAATACGAGTGAAAGGTCGTCCATCTCCCTCCCAGAGAGTTGCCAGGATGCTCTAGGAGACTTGAGTTTTATGGTACAGTATCGACAAGGCCACACTGATCAATGTTCTGAAAAATTAATTCTCTCCCTGAAAATATACTGAGAAAACATTGCCTTGATGTGCAGTCGGAGCCCGGACAGAGGTCTAAACCCTGAATCAGCACACATTCACTGATGCTCATTAGTCCACTTCACTTATAATAAGCACTAATTGGGGTATAGTTAAAGAGCCTTGCCTACTCGTTAGGCCTATAATCACCTTAAACAGCGCCTAAGAAACTCAGGGAGCTAATAAACGTGTGTGAGTGTGGAGGCGGTGGATTTGAGCATATGTGTGAATCTCCTGCGCGGTGAACTTCTACACTCCAAACAACCAAAAAAAAAAAGAAGAAATCCTTGGTGCGCATATAGTTGGCTTCTGCAGCTTTAGTGCATTACAGGTAGTGACAGTCGACTTTACAGTGCTTTGAATTATTGAGGAGATTAAGAGGCTAATCTCAAAGTGCTAACTAAGTTATGATCTGTAGCAGCTTTGCACGCCAGGCTCTTACACATCTTATAACTGATGCATTTTTAACAATGTCACAGGTGTTAGTGAATAGTTAAATATTACAACAGTCAACTAATATTTCATCTGACGGTTAAGAAACATATGGAAGAGTTAGGTATATGTTTTTAAGCCCATCAGCCCGGCTCAGTCTTTCTCCATTCACACACACATTACAATCAAAGTCATCCGTTCTTTATAGCAGGATAAAAGATGTTCCCTGACACGTTTAACAGTCTGCTTCTTTACTGTTGACAATAAACGCGATGATGGCAAGGCTACATGCATTGTTAAAGCAGGGGCCGAGGAAAATTCAAGGTCTTTTATTGACTTTCAAACTTACCAAAAGTGTTTCCTTGACAAAATAGAAATAAAAAGGGTGGGTCTTGCTCTCAGGTTGTTTTTATGATATATAAACACACACACATTTTATTTTGTTAGTAGAACCAATGTTGTAGTATAGAAAAGACGGCACTACGTTGCCCACAAGATAATATCAATAGACAGAAAATTTTTGACGTTTGGTTTGACTATTTTTTTCTTTTCAGCTCTTGCCTAGTGCAACAGTGGCTATAGGCCTAGGATGGTCTGTGACAGAATTCATGCCTCAAGAATTCAAGACAAGACTCTCTGCAAATTTTCTGCAATAACCGCCTGGGCTTACAATTTCATGTAAGTCTTAAGAAGTTGTAACATTCACTCGGTATTTTATTTAAGCCAGGTTTTTCATATAGAAAGTCTTTGATGACAATATGTATACATTTGTGCAGAAATAGTGCATTATTAATTGGAATCAATTTAAACTGTTTCTTTTTATTCATATAATTAACGGAGCCATTACTGCATGTGAAAGCTAGATTTCATCAGACCTCTGACGCTAAGCAGGGTAGAGCCTGGTTAGTGCTTTGACGGGAGACCTCTGGGAACACCAGGTGCCACAGTGGGGCAGTTGTAAAGTGCCAAACTGTCTTTGTGTCCTTGGGCAAGACACTTCACTCAAATTGCCTAGAAGGAGTTTGGTGTGTGTGTGTGCGTCTGTGTGAATGGATGGTGGTGGTTGGAGGGGCCGATGGCACATACTGAATGCCTCACTTCTGTCAGTGTGCCTCAGGGCATCTGTAGTAGTAGCTTATCACCACCGTGTATGGAGTGAATGAATAACGATACGTGTCCAAAAAAACGCAATATATAGAAATAACGCATTATTATTGACGTCCTCTATGACCTCATAAAATTGTTGTGTTAGCATTTCAAACGAGCAAATCTGACAAAACATCTCTCAGTGATTGGTGAAAGGTTTGTTATAACTTAACCATGCTTTAAACATTGCCGAACTTAATTCCTGACCTCTCTGGTAAGTGGTAAGTACTGTGATGCGAGAGCTTTGGGAACACCACGGGAGCTCTGGACATAAATAACCCAATACTTCTTATGGAGAACCAGAAAGAGAAACTATCAGATCAGGATGAAACATGATTTTTTTTTTTTACCAGGAAATTGACAGTTTTGGGCATCCAACTCCATTCCATAACAGTTCATTTGGCAAGAGGGGTATATTTTTTATAGTACGTATGTGTGTTAAAGCTTCATAAAACATGTCACTACCTTCAACACTCCAAATGTCAAAAACCCAATGCAAAACGTCAACTTCTAATCTTTACTCATAGCTTCAGGGTATTCATCACTTTGCGCTGCAGGAAATAAAGAGACAACAAATCTTTCTCTGAGGCTAGAGAGTAATAAACTAGAGAGGGGTTGTAAAATGCGTGATACCTTAGTGGAAAGGATCTTGAAGTTGCTTTGTTGAGGGACGATTGGATGAAGGAGGTTAAGATTGAGGTTGTAGTTGTCCCCTGAAGCAAGTCGTACAGTGGCCGAGAGCTGAGGAGACAGACAGAGACATGTTTCAGCTTCCAGCAAAGACATTTCTCTAAGAGTTAGAACCTAGCAGCAATCAATAACCCTTGTTGTAGTGAAGTCAAGAACATGGTGTGTGTTAAAAGGTCAACAACATGATGTGATGCAATGGTAAAACTGTGGGAGGACACAGCGTATTAATTAATGAATAATGTAAGGTATAGAATAAATTCAGCTACCATTAACTGCATCATGACTAGAACATACTCTGAGGTCAATCCCCAAAGAATCTAAAGGTCATTCAATGGTCTATGCATTGTGATTATACAAGCATAAGACGAACACTGTGGAGAGAATGCTGGGGAACATTAAACAAGTTGTGGGTGAAAGGCGCGTACATCCAGCTGTCCAAAGCCAGTGTGCTGATCCAAAATGAATAAATGCAAAAATGGTGGTGAGCGGGGAAAAAAAAAAAGCTGGTAAGCCTGAAGTTCAGTGCATTTTTTGTTCATCTTTCTGAACAAGTAACTTACATAAAGTTCTGAAGTAAAAGTACAAGACTGGTGACATCTGCTTAGCAAAAATGAAGGGACTAACAACCCTAGTCCTAGTCTTTACAAAAAAAGAGTGATACGGACAATGAAGGGTGTGAGCAAATGTTGTGGAGGATAAACAGTGAACTTGTGTTATATTTTCCTGTCAGTGTTTAATATATAGAATGGGATGAACTATCTGAGGAAGACAAAGACAAAATAGACAAGGAGGTGTCGGCGTGTCTTTGAGAATAATCATCTGATCTGGCCGCAGTGACAGCCAAGAGTAAGCTGGCACTGGCCCCTTGAGCCACAAAGGGAATGATGGGGCGGTCAGACAGCTCCTAACAGCCTGTCAGTCAGCAGCACACTGGACGCCTCGCTGCTTCTACAGAGAGGAATGGGTTCAGCTACGGCCCACAAACTTGCTATGAAGGCTGGACCCACTAAAGACTTCTTGTACTAGACTCCTTATTTAAACATTCAGCCTCTTTGGATTTCCTCATAGTAATGTTAGTTTCTGAAGATAAACACCTCCTTGGGCTCACAGTGAGTATTCTACTGGAAATGGACATTAGAAGTCTGGGGAAATGTTGATTAGGGATAAAAGCTTAGAAAGTTAAGTTGCTTTCAGGCAATTCCACAAAACTATCAAAGACCTAATTTCATTTGCAGAAAGTGCTGCAGCGTCTGAATATACAGAAGCTGCAGATGGAGTCACGAGGGAAAATGACTGAGACCAGCGCCTTTCATCTTTAATTTCTTTTGTATATACTGACCTAGTAAAAAATACATGAACTTATCTGTGCCTCACACCACAGAGAGAGCAAGAAAGTATGTGACAAATGACTGTGGTTCAGTGGCAGAGAGCGCGCTCTCATTTAAAGGGGGTAAACTCAACTTTGTTACTCTATTAGCAAAGACAAAGCGGGTCCCATGGGTGCCCTGCAGTTACCCCTCAGAGATCGGTGAAGAAAAGTGGAGAAAAGAAAGTCAAAATGAAAAAGAAAGAAAAGTGTTGTCCCTGGGGGAGTGGGGCTGCTCTTAGATCAGTGATGGCTTCTATCTACAGACAATTAGGAGGTTGGAGAATCTAGGGAGGGTAAATTGTTCTTAGATCTGTACTTTGGGGGCAATGTTAACAAGGCACCACTGGAGGCATAGTTGATCCACAGGGAGAGGGTGTATGTGTGTGTGTGTGTGCGAGACCCGTCTAATGGGCCCCCCTGAGGAAACACCAAGAGCCAACCCATCTCTGTTTCAGAGAGAAAAAAAACAGCTTAGAGCATTGCTCTCAGAGTCTCACGACTGTGCTTAAGAGTTCATACCTCTCTTTCCTTGAAGATGACAAACAAACCATCCTCTGGAACGTTTTTCACCATCACCGTGACAATAACCTGGGAATCTGTTTGGTACCAGTCGTGTCTGCCAAACGTACAAGAATATTGTTTAATTGAGGATTGGAAATACAGTAGGGCTTTTTAGTGGCCCCTGAAAATTATTTTCAATTTTCATTGACTGATATTGCTCATAATTTAAAATTGTTATAAAATTATAATAAAAGGCTTTTATACTATTGGTCCTCTACCAAAATGAGTTTGACACCCCTGTATATGCCATAACGCCGTAAGTCATCAAATAAGAAGTTTCTGCTAATGATTTTTAGTTAGCTAAAAATTGCTCAATTCTTCTTTTTCTATGCATTTTGTAAAGTGAGTGTCCCAAAAAGTGTTATAATTAATTACAATTTTAATTAATTTTTTCTCAAATCAATGAATTTATTATTTTTCCTATTTTGCTTTAGGATTGCATAGATTAACTAAATAAAAGATTGGATAATTTGAGTATATGTTTCAACTGTGTGTTGTGTATAGTCCAGTTAGTGATTATGGATTACAACACTTATCAGTCACGTTTAGATGCATAATAATTGAAGACTCTCAACATGAACACATAGCATCTGGTGTTACTGAACTTACTTTATTACACGTGCTGCTGCCTGTTGCTGGGACATCCACGTGTTGATAAGAGAGAAAACACAAAATAACATAAAGATGGCTTGACCTTATGTGGCAGGTGCATTTATACAAGATGAAAATGCTGAGAACAACAGCTCCCCCTAGTGGCCACATGCAGAAACTCACCTTATGTGCTTCGCCGTTCTGTTTTTCTTCTGAGAACAAAGAGAGAGAGAAGGGAGGATTATTGTGTGAAGCAGGTGCAAAGGGCAAACCTGTTTTTGCATCTTAAAATTGAGAAAAAGAAGATGCAGTCCTGAAATGCACATATTAGTGCAACGTGACACATGTCTCATTGCTGGTTTGTTTACCGGCCCATCCACGCCCATTAACAGAGCGCCTGATCACCATTTAACAGCATGCTTTCATACATTATTCACAGACTTCATTACAAGAAAGAAGTAGCACAGAGACAGAAGACAGAAATGAGATGATTGGAGGCGAGTTAATGTTGTCTTAACGAGGCCACGTCTGAAATGTGTGCGTGCGCCTGTGATGGGGGGGGTGCTCTCAGGGGATGAGGAGCTGTGTGTGTCAGAAATCATGACTTCACCAGATGCTTTGTGCTGACTTCAAATTAACGCCACAGGATTTAGAGACAACAGTTTGTCCTGTTGTGAGCGTGAGAGGAAAGTTGGATATTTATAATTTCAGTGGATTTTTGTGCCCCCACAGCCAATGCGTGCCAGTGACGGGGGTTTGACAGAGGGGCGGGGGAAGGTCTCGTTGCTTCCAAAACATCACTGACATTAAATCTGGTGAATCGTATGGCCCGTGGGAGTCAGTGTGTGAGCGGGTGTGAAGTCTGTTTGTCAAAACTCATGCTCTTGTTTATTTGATGATCCATTGGGTCTCAGCGTGAGCGTCGGTAAATGCACCATGCAGGCAGCCAAAAACTGTTTATTGGATGGAGAAGCTCAGTCAGACTTTGCCTCAACTGTGAGCTCACATTTCCATCTGTTCATGCAGAAAGTAATGTTCATGTCAGGATTTCAAAACATTCAAATCAATTATGACTAGGGGCCATTTTCTAAAACAAGGATTGTAACTCAAAACTATGATTTTTGACATGTCTGTTTAAACATTTCTGTTCATGTCATCCATCTATCAATTTTTTACCCCTTAATCCATTTCTGGTTCAGGGGGGTGGCAGTCAGAGCTGCACCCAGTACACTTAGCACCAGCCCCTCACTGATCCTCCTGCAGGTGGGGAGTCCACAGGAGCCTTGATCTTTCAACGGGGGTTTCAGGCAAAGTGGGGTTAAGTGTCTTGCCCAAGGACACAACGACAGCAGACATTATTTTTTGCCCTGAAGAACAAGTGAGAAAATGATTGAAAATGTGAACTACTTCTTACCAGCCATTTTTTCTTCACAACGCTTGATCCAGACCTCGAAGGTTTTGTCTGAAACTGATGAGTCAAAAAAAGAAAATAGTTGAGCAACAAGACAGAGGCACTCCAGAACTATGCTATGACACAATATTAAGATACTGAAATAACATAGCTATGATTAGGAAGTTTAAGGGGCTAAATTAACAACAATGTCAAGATTGGATGGTATGTTTAAAACTTACATTACAAAGTGATTTAAAAGTGCAAAACATAAAATACATGATCACAACAGAGGGAGAACTACCAAGGACTACAGATGGAAAGTGCAGCCATCTCTTAAATGCAACTGCACATTTTCCTTAGACCTGGTCCATTTACTCTGTTCTCATTGCTTCTCTGATACATAAAGTTATGTTGTTGGTTTATTGCAGTCTTTGTCTACGGTTATTTTATTCCTAAAGTTTGTTATTGCAGATATGAGTTCGGTACTTGTAGTCTCACCGTCGAGCTGCTGTCCCTGAATGAAGGCTGCGTGTGCTGGCTCCAAGTTCTTCAAGTGGTACTCTGCTATTCTACAGGCGACACAACAACACACAATTACATCATTACAAAACACAACAAAGTCCAGACTCCAAGCTACGGTTTGTGATATTCAGAATACAGATACTTCTCCAATCAAATATTAGATATTGAAATGACCATCTTAGTGGTGCACAAAAGTATGTTTAACCATTTTTCATTTGACATTAGAAAACAATGCACATGCTCATACTAATTATATAAAACAGTATAATGTTGAGAATGTATTACGACTATTCAGGATACAGTAAAGTGATTGAACCAAGTTACGCAATGCTGTATCTATGCTGTATGTTGGGGTCACACAACCAAGCTGCTCAAAGCTTTCCCCTCAGTCTTTCACTGCAGCAAAGGTCCACAATATCCATGCAGAGAACTTGGCTCTAAAGTCTAGTACAAATTTCTTACCGTCTATTTAAAATGGTAGATTTTTTTGAGAAAAATTCAAACTAAGTTTAATAATAATAGCGCAACTTTCAAACTGGTTCTGCCACATCACAGAATGTTTGATTTGACAGGAAATAAGAGGAAAACACGTTTATCTCCTATTTCCAGGAAAATGTATAAAAAAGGACAGGTTTGTGGTGGAGTGTTAGCTTCAGTGTCCCAGGTGAGGAGGTGGAGATGTAAGGTTTTGATTCATAAAAGGTATGTCCTGAGCGCAGACAATGCAGTTAAGGGTCATAGATAGTTTAGACAAAAGCAAACAAACCCTGTGCGCAAAAAAGCCAGTGAAAGATTGGGTTGTAGTTGTTGTGCTTTTCTGGCATCATCAGCCGAACCTGTAAAACAGAGGCATTACAGTTATTTTACGTGGTTAAATATGGATAAACTATCAAATTTCTAGTTTTGTATATTGTAAAAAATTATGAATTTTCATGACCGACCACCAAGCCTCATTAACCGGTTGAAACCGGTTAACCGTGTAGTTTAAAATATTCCACGTTCTTTGAAATAACAGCGGAGTGAAATCCACAACAGCTTCGGCCCCTTTGCGCACAGAGAACTGATTATTTTAATCTTCCCATTCTTCTGTGCTGGGTTAAAGCTTTTTAGCAGCAAACGACAGCTCGTCCACATGGTCAGAGCAGCGAGTGACGAGTCGCGTCTCACAGGTCTCCTCTAAAGGTTAAATACAAGTGATGTGTGTGTGGAGCTGATCTAATGCCAAGGACCATCAGCACAAACATGTTTCCATGTGTTTTGACTGGAGTCGCGTATTTGCGAGGATCGTGCGAGTCGGCCCGGAGTTTACTAATACATTAGCGCACATAGCAAGAGACTGATCCGCTCTGTCACACCGTACTTATAATAGCGTAATTAAGAGACCCCCCTCCCCCTTTTTTTTTCTTTAACTGACAGCTTTGACCAGTTAACGCTGCTACGGTCAACCACTGGTTAAACGGTCACCGATTAACATACATATTTGGTACTTTTAATACTTTCTCAACACTAATCAAACTAATATTTGATTTCAGTGTTGTTATTCAACTGCAGATGGACATGTATAAGGTGAATTAACCAAGGTAGAGTTTGTTGACAAAGGAGAAGTGATGTAATTTATCTGGGTTAGAACTATTCAGTTCAAACGAGAAAATTAGGGGCCCTCAATTTTTGTCTGTATCCCGGAGACCATGCACAGAACAAGCTTTGGACCTCTTAATGACAAAGTTACAAGCTTACAGTTACTGCTTTACCCGTCTCAAACTATCGATCTGCATATTGAGACCTATAAGGCCAAGTCACACTTCATAAATTATTGATTTTCTTTTGAAGTATGAATTAGAAGTTATTCTTTTGGTTTAATCTGCAAATTTTGAAAACATTGCAATTGGTCACAAGTAGATATGTACCTGTATGAGTGGGAATCAAACTGCAAACCTTAGTGGTCTTCATAGACCTGACCAAAACCATCTGTTCATACAGGCTACGGCTGTAACTAGCAATTAGTTCAAAATCCCTAGATGATTCAAATATCATCTAAGTTGTTACACTGATTAATCATTTAGATGTGATGTAATATTTATATATAAAGTTTAACTTAAGCACTGGAGAACATTCTAATAGATATCATAACCAGACAAAACTATTTTATAATTACATTAACTATCATTTATTACTGATCTGTTTTAAAACACACCTTAAAGCACTTACAGACTCCACATGTGTTTTAGTATGTAATAGAGCAGTTAATAATTAGTCAATAACTAAAATAGTTGTAATTCAATGTTAATACTTACAGTCATACAGGAGGATCTATAGTTGTGTAGTTGATAAAGTATGCTCCTGGTTAAGTCTGAATGTATGTGTGGATTGTAGACTCACAGCTGTAGTTTTTCAGCAGAATGTGGGCATAGGCACGCTGGCACAACCACTCAGCATTGTCTTTCTCTTCTTGCAGTGCTTTGTTTAGTTCCTGTTGAAACGTCAAAAAACATGACATAATTCAGCGTGTTAGTATACTTTTTGCACAATATTGAGTGTTTCTATCCATGCCAAATGTGACATATCCATTTCTCCCGTGTGAGATTAATAAAGTATATCTTATCTTATAATGACATGACATACAGATGAGTAGACTGAAAGTGAAACCACTTGGTGCAGTCGACCATGGCTGCTGCTGCTGCTGCTGCTATTACTACTACTTATATAAAAGAGTTTTAATCTATATCAGAAGAAGTGATAAAAATGAATCCTTATTTTTAGACAGCTAAGTGTAGAATAATACCAGGTAACGATTGCCTCATCATTGGTTAACGTTAAACAGATAAAACGATGGCATCAATAGTATCAGGAAAATAATGTTAGAAATAAAGTGGACACCAGTAAAAGAAAAATAATAATAACAGTCTATGGCTGTAGTATGAATCGATTTGTTTACCTCTAGTGCTTTCTCAGGGTCTTCGTCAATGAGGCTGTCAGGGAAACTGCTGAAACCAAACACGGAGCAGTAATTTCACAATAAAGCGTGAGCTAAAGTAGATTAAATATGCAGTGTACAAGGAGGTGATAAACTTGCCGTTCTGCTGCCATGGCACGATTCGGGAAACTTCTACAAGAGGCTAGAGACTGACAACATCCGGCAAGAGACCGAGCATTGCAGCACAGCGCCCTCTGTGGTATGGAGACGCCATAACAACACCACCTCCCACAACAACAACAGCAGCAATCATGAGAAAGGAAAAAAAAAAAGGAACAAAAAAATTAAGAATAAAACTATGTTTCTTTTTATAAACAACAAAAATGAACACCATATTCTTTTCCCAGATGCTTTTGTATATGTTTCCACTTCATGTTACATTACGGTATGAGAGAGCAAGCAATGGATCTTTGGATACCTCCAGCTTACCCTGCCACTGTGCCACTGTGCTGCATGATTAACTGGATGTTGGTTTTCCTGTACATTTACACTCATACCTTATTTGTATAAAAACTCTTTGTTTAACTTAATTTTTATTGTGACAATGTTTTGTAGTGAGCATAATGTTCAAATCGATCCATCTATTACAGATATACATATAAAAAAGTGTATTATACCATCTCACTTATGGATCTATTATTTTACTCCCTTTTCACATTGACATTGCCAATTTAACTAACCAAAATCAACAAAATAAATCAAAAACAAAAATGATGAGAAATATTTTTAAGTACTTTGACATAACTCAGGGCTATGTCATTAAGCTTCTTCTACTGCAATGAAAAGTCGCTTACAATGCATTAAACATCAACATATAAATAACCTGCAAAAGTGTGGAGGTTGGTGCAAAAAAACAAAAACAAAATCAGACTTCAGTAGGCACAAGATGAAAAGCTCAGCGTTTAATTCTTGCATAGGCTACTTGGGTGCAAAAGGCATAGTCTATAAAGCAAATACATTTTATAAACCTGAGGGGAAATGGCAAAAAGCAGTTATACAGTACATCATATAATGTATAATTAACATTACATAACCACATTAAGGCTTTAGGTATCCATAGAAGTTAATATTATTTATAAGAGGACACAATATTCACTAAATGATGACAGTCCAGATAAGGCACAAAAGCAAAAAGGAGCAACAGGTTCACGTCACTGTTGATTGTCACAAAAGTCCAAAAATCCCTTGCCTGCAATAACTCACAAACAAAAACAGTAAATTCTTGGAATGTTTCCCTTAACATAATCATGGTCCCGAAAAACCAAGGACACTGCCTCGTCAGTCTTCAGGCACTTTAACAGCAGGAGCAATCTTTTAGTGCAAAACCATTTCCAAGGCAGATTTTAATTAGCATGCAACAGTTAAGACACATAGGTAAGACTGAGAGTAGGGCACAGTGTGATCATCAAAGTCACTCCAAAATCAGGAGCAGGAGTGCAAGCATGCGTTTGAAAGCCACGCAGCAAAGATATTCCAGTGCATTAACTTTGGTGTTTAAATATAGAAAGCAATAAAACTGTTAAATAATGCTGAGATAAAGATATGCTGAATTTCCTTCCAGTTACCCTAGAAGGGATTTTAAATCTCGCCTTCTTACATGTTTTTCTTAATAACATACTTTTTCAACTTTTCAAAACAAATGAAGCCAAAATTGCATTTTCTGTCATTATATACGGTTTATAAACCAATTGTAAAGGCAAAAAACCAAGTCCTTAGTCCTTATCACTGCAGATAATCTAAAGACACTAGGTTAAAGTGCATATGACAGGTGAGACTATATGACTTAAAAGTCTTAGCTTGTTTTCTCTAGTTTTGAAATGTTGGTTTTATATTTTTATTTGGTTATTAAATGTTACTTTGTGATATACAGCAGATATCACATAGGTAGAGGTAGGTACCTAGAGATCACAAAGGAAAACAAGGGCCAAAGCCTTAGAACTATGCAATAGAACAATGAAGCGAAACAGAAATGTGCGTTTCTGCTGCATGAAGCCATTTCAATTGTTTGCCTCGAATTCTGACCAAACAAAGTAATTCAAAAGGTAACCTGTCACAAACACTTTCAAGAAAAGATAATGTTCTCAAACATTGTGAGATTCAGTTCATAATCAATCCAGAGCTAACAACTCATTGATGCAGCAGAGGCACAAAGTACCTGAACTAATAAAAAAAAACTAACATAGTGTGCTGCAGTAGCACTTGGTCAAGCATTGGGTCTACCGCAAAAGGTGAAATTGTATAAATAATTTTGGATCTTCATTTGGTTTTGCGCTACATTATGCATGAGCTACACCGTTTCCACTGTGGTTTTGCCATAGTGAGACTTCTTCTCACTGTTGTTGAGAACAGGTTTTCTGTCCTCTTCCAGTTCAGCGGCTGCTTGCCGTTCACACAAGCTTCCCAGCAGCTGAGCGGTTTTGAAGACAGAGCCGTGGCCGGACGGCTGCAGAGACTGGACTTTCTGCAGATTCTGGAGGGTCCGCAGCATCTCAGCGGAGACAATGGGCAGATGCTGCTCCTGGATAAGGCTATTCTTGGTAGACCTCAAGACTGTCTCACGCTGGGCTGCAGCCTTTGGGGTGGTCCTGGTCCTTGTTAGGGGCCGTAAAGATGTTTTCTTCTGCAAAGGTACGGAAAACGTTTCCTGTTCAAATGATTGGTCACAAGAGGATATTGTGCTGTCGTCAGAATCATCGCTCTCTTCTTCATCAGAGCTGTTTTCATAATCTTCTTCTTTGGAACCTTCCCCATCAGTGATATAAATCATATCTTTGGGCAGTGACGTAAATTGGTAGACCAAACGTTGGCCCTCCACCTTGTTTAGGATGCCTCTCTGGTAGTAGTACCTAAGCGAACATCATTAGGTTAAAACATTAGGAAAACATTTTCAATAACAGAATATACACTGAGAGACCATATTCTGTTAGCAGGTCCTTAAGAAAGACACCTCAGCAACCTTGCTAGTATGATCATGTGTGGTCAAAAGCTTGTGATGTCAAGATTTCAGCATTCCTGTTCAGTCAATAGTCAATTAAACCTAAACCTTTTTGGCATGTTTTGATACCAGTGCCAGCCACAAGCCAAAATATATTCTAAATGGTTCCAAGCTCAGGTAAAATGATATGTTTGCAACTGAAAGTCTTAATTATATTGTTTATCATCGTTTTTTCAGCCTGGAAATACCCATGCTGCGGTGTACCTAGTATACAACAGCCCTGGAAAATTTTCTCATGGATTAAGAGACTAATCACAGAATGGGAGGGACGACAAAACGATGATGATGCACTATTGGATAGATGGAAGCTTGTAGTTTGTTTAAATTTCGCCAACAATTATTTGCTCGCAAAAAAATAGCAGTAATTGTTTGGCACCATTGTGTAAATGATCAATCTTTTTCCACACTTTTCCTTTCTCATCAAGTTTATGTTGAGCGACATACAAATGTTATTGAGCGGAACTGATATAACTTGATAGACATTCATAGCGCCCAATAAACGTCTATGGACAGGCTTAAATCACACCTCTCCTACAAGAAAAGGTATGGATGGTTTCCAAGCTACACATTCATGAGTGATATTCAGTCTGAAGTTAGCCAAGCTAACTTTTTGTTTATTTTAAATCTATAATGATGCAGGGACTACAATAGTTCAGAGAAAATGTTTTACCTTAGTGCTCGGCCCATTGTCTCATAATTCATGTCAGGTTTGTTTTTGTGTTTGCCCCAGAGTCTGGCTACAGCTTTTGAATTGACCAATTTGAAAATCCCTTGGCGGTGATCGGTCCATTTGATGTAGCGTGGGCAGACTTGTCTGTCTTGCAGCAACTCCATCAGGAACTGCCACAGGTATAACGTGTTTCCCCCTATAGAGAAAAGGAAAATTATTTGAAAGTGAGCTTACATCTTGAATACTGATCTGTATATCATTCTTAAATGAATACATTTCACAGTGCATTTTGTTAAATTAAATACCTTTATTATATCTGTCTTTCTTTACAGTAATTTCAGGTGTGGGAGATTCAGCTCTATGACTCCTGTATTTCTTTCCTGCAATTAAAACAGTGTGAGTCAAATGGTACCATAATGTGGTACATGACAATGGCAAACCTCTCTTCTTGGACTGGCGTGGAGCAGACTGCTCATGGTGCGCAGTGTGCCACAGAGTCTGTTCGACAGCTCCCATAATGCCCTCTGCTGACACCGTCACCTGGGTAACTGGAGCAGTGATGATGTCACTCAGTGATGGCAAAAAGGCCTGAGCTACAGGGGTAGACAAATGGGTTGACCAAAAAACGAATAACACAACACAGAGGATAACACACAATGAATTTATAATTGTATCCTCTGGTTCAAATGTGTTTGTGTTAAAGTCATGAGCAGCTTACAGTAATGGTCCTCCAGAGACAGTGTGTCTGCACAGTCCAAGTTGAGAAGAGAGTCAGCAGCAACAAGTGTTTCCATGGTGTCCTCATCTCCACTTTCACATGGCTCCACTAGAAACAAATATATCATTCATTCAGTTGCAGAAACTACAACATTATAACAGTGACATTTTAGAATATCATGACAGTACATCAAGAGCATTAAGCTAGATGTTGTCATAGCCAACATCTGCCAACAGCAGCTCGGTCTAACTTATTTTTAAATGACGCTGAAAACACAGTAAAAAAGTAAAAGTCTACGATAGAATCAAAATATTTGCAAAAACAATAAAATCGTCAAGTGTCCCAACATGTATTTTGCTAGCATCACATACAAGATATCATAGGCTAATTAGCATAGCATTAAAGGCATGTTTTAACTTTCGGTCCGAAGCTCTCCTAACAACACAACGCCACATTATACACTTACTCTTAAACATGTCATTAGAAATAAGCTAGGGCATTGGCACTTTGTCCCAAATTGCCCACGTCATCTTACTACGGTATTCTGCCTGTCTTTCCCTTCCAGACACCAGCCAGGAATGTTTTGTTTAACTTCCTGATTTTCTCTCAAGAACGTGGTACGTTCAGAGTTTAAGACTGCGCATGCTCGGCCAAAGTTATCTGCATTTTCATCGTTGTAGACGTCCACTTTTTTAACGACTTAAAAATCACGTCAATACAATGAAAACGTATGTGTTACGAAATAGTGGGATTGCAGACTGGTAGTTTATGCTAGTCCTTTTATACACACCTTTAAGTAGTGGTTGATGGTCGTCTTTGTTGGACAGTTCACAGGCCAAGCCGAAGGACAGGTGTGGATGAGGAACCATCACCGCCGGGTAATCAGAGTAAGCCATCAGCTGCAAAACAGAATACAACTCACATTTCAATCTAAATCAAATACAAATAAGCACATTTCACAGACTATGTCTAATTACCTGTGTCATGTTCACATGATCACTGGCAAAGTCAAAGATGAGCTCTGGCTGTTGTAGCATAGTTGTGTTCAAATAATTATTTTTTAATTCAATAAAAACATGTCTTTTTGTTCAATAGCTTTGTATGTCTTCCTCTCCAGGTTCAAGAACTTTTTCCCTGTGTGAATCCGGCCAGTCAGCTGTCTTGTTTCTCCTTGCTGAGCAGGTTGGTATCTTCTTCCAGTGCACTGCAACGTGAAGTCTGTAGTAATGAAGAACATTGATGCTACTTTTTTCCGATTAACCACAGACAAAGTAGCGTCACAGGAAGCTTGAGCTCTGTTTCAATGCTTGATGAGGAAGTGGGGGGCTGTTAAACTGTCCTGTGGTCGAAATAAAAACCTGCCAAAGGAGAACAAAGAATAACGTATAAAAGGCAGTGGCAAATCCATTTTCTAACAACTTAACAACATGTACACCTTAAAAAACTGGTATAACAAATTACCCCACACAACACAGTTAAAGACGTCTGCATCACTTGGCTCTCTGTGGTGTTTATCATACCACTTTTCTCTCTTATCATACTTCTAAGAGGCACAGGAAGGAAGTATTTGTAGTGCGCAGTACTTTCTAGAGTTGTGTGCAGAAAGTGGAGGCAGTCACAGAGTGGAGCATTTCAATGTCGCGGTTGCCCTGTGTTTCAAGGTTACAGGGCGGTTCATAAATTCCTCATGTATCTCCAAAGGGCGCTTTCTTAACAGACTCCTGCCCCTTTTGTTTGCCAATAATTTTATCTTTGCTTGTTTTAGCTTTTTTGCTTTCCCTCCAAAACGTTCTTTGGTTCTTCTTGTCATAACTAATGCTGACTGGTTTGTTTAGCCCTTTGGTGTAGTTCACAGCTTCATAATCTCTCCACCCCTCACAAAACATTTTTAAAAACACAACGTGCAACTACCTCTCTAAACAATATTATGTCAATGAAGGGCTGGCAAAGCAAGACAAAATATCTGGTATGACAAAAATATTGCTAACTTTTGTTTCATGAATACATATTGTTTGTCTTAACAGAAGAGTTTTGTTTACGTGACATTTAGTTAACAAATCAGACCACAACATGTTCTTATTTTTATTATCTTATTGGGAAACGTGTGACACTGAAGATGCTGAACTAAAGATGTAAGAGTCCAAAATACATGCACGTGAAAAAGAGTGTTAAAACCAAACCATTTTTAGAAGTAGGTGTTACTTTTGTGGTTTGAATTTAGACACACCATCCTTTAATACCCAAAAAAACCCACTTATACAGCGCTTTGTGACTCTGGTCTGAGAAAGGCGCTATATAGATAAAGATTACTTACTTAATATTTGTGCATGATATCCAAGCCAATCAATATAATAAGGGTAGAGGACAATACATATTCTGCTTGTTTCCCTGACTCATTCTTTTCATAAAAATAAGAGTGCAATCAAATATTGAAAATGCTGGCACATCTCTATGTACAATTAGTGTAATAACAAAATTGTTACATTTTAGAGTACAGCTGTATTTCTCAAGTTGCAAAGCCATGAAATATTTTGAAAGTACTTTACTCAGTATGCACAGTATATTTGGTCAGTTATCACTCAGGAAGCACTGCTCAGTTAGGAGGCACCACTTCCTGAGTTTTTTACCAAACCGCTGCCAAAGTCTCTGCCAGCCGTGGCCTTCTCATTTCCAACTTCCTCTGTTTGCGATAGATACAAAATGCCATCTGGTATACCCATCAGAGCTAAGTAAAAGATTAGTTCAACCAAAGAAAAAAGTGCAATTTTTAATCTAATATGCTGTGTACATAAGGTTCATAATAAACAATAATTTCAGTAAAAAGTCACTATTTTCTATTGTAGATCCATATAAGAATTATTTTTAATCAGGTCAACACAACCCAGTTTTAGCAGGGTTATGAAAAGTCCTAAAATATATCAAAAGTTTAGTTTAATTTAAAACCCAATTCCAGTTTAGTCTTTTTTTTTTTTTTGTATGTATATTTTTGTCTTTAAAATCTTCTACAAAGCTATGTATTTTGCTGCTCATGTTCAAAAGAACACGTTTTACAAGTAGATTTTACCATTGATGTGGTCTTTCAGAAGTTAAAGCATGCAAGTAGGTCACCATTTTTACTTTTGTGGTTTTACATATCAGCTACCTTAATATACCCTTGGTTATTTGAAAGCGTGAGGTGAAAGTTAGGGAAATATTCCACTTAACAGTATGAAGCATGTGTCTTCAGTCCCAGCAAGTGGAAAATCAGGATTATATATTGGCAAGATGTCTAATTTAGCAACAGTGCCGCAACAAACTTGTATTTTGGCTCGTTTGGCATTTTCAGATTACGAACGGCATCTGTATTTGACATGTTTTGTGGCGTCTGAGTGGAGGCTGCTTTGGAGTGACTGAACGTGCGCTTCCCCTGCAGCTGCCTGTGGCTCTTATACATATCTAACAGTATGGGGCTTTGTTCATCTGCTCTCCCCTCACATAGGTTAGTCTGTGTGAAGTGTGTGCCAGGCCCCCGAGGACACTGATAAGCCCCATAGCATTCATTCCCCAGTTTGTGTATCAAACAGTGATATAGAAAACAGTGGGGGCAAAGGCGGTGTATTTGTGTGTGAACTAGGCCAGGCTGATAACAGTATGCTAAGAGAAGCAGCTGCTGATAAGCCCCTCTTGTTGCTTGGGGTAACGGGGCTTATAAAATGAACTGGCAAAATAAAGTAAAAGAATTGTGAAGGTGGCCACAAAAAAATGATCAAGGTTTGCAGGTTTTTGATAAAAGCAACAAAAACAGTGCAACTTCAAAGCAATTCAAATTTGTTCACTTTCTCCAAAAACTACTGACTGCCTTTATAAATAATCGTTTCTGCCTTTACTCTTACAATTTAAGGAGTGAAAACAAATACCCAAGAATGATTCAGTTGTGATTTCTACTGTTCAAAATGAAAATCATACTCTTACCTTATGTTTGCACATTTATATAGTTGCAGAGCAGCTGATATGGACAGCAGAGGTTGGTCTTGTCCCACACAACAGGCGTCACCACTTCTCTGACCTGGGATCAGTTTCTTTGGGGCTACACAAGGTACGATTTTAACATCAGTATGGATCGTGTTTTGTCTTCCCCAGTGCCATTGCCAGATATTACTTCCTCTTTTCTCCTGTAAACTCTCCACCCTTCAGGCTCTGATTGGTTACCTGTGTTGTGAGTCAAGGTAACCCATAGTGACCATTGTCAGTGTGGAGCAAATGTAAACACGGGTGTATTTGCAATGTAAAGTGGCCGACAGGCGAGGGGCCAATCTGCAAACAACATGAGGATTTTATGAGGCACAAGTTATGTTGTTAAATCAAGGTTAATATACTAACATCAATCATTTTGCCAGTAAAACAGTCCCTTGTCTTGTTCTACTTTGCTCCTTAGTTGTTTAGATGTAAATATGAGATCTTTTTATTTAACAAAGTGTGTGTGCAAATGTGAAGATAACAAACATTAATTTAAGAGACCAGACTTTGTTAGTGCCTTATGCTCCCTAGTGGCAAAATGTGGCACTTACAAATACAGTGGCAGTATGTGTTGCAGTAAACACCTGTAAAAGAATTTATATTTTTTTCAGTTTGAGGGCAGGTAGCAATTATACTATTCTTTCAAAAAGACATTTATGAAAGGAATGTTGAAGAAGAAAAAGTCCGAAAGTTTTCCCCAAATCCTTCTTTGATGGTGATAAAATTCTCAAACTCACCATTTTGTACTTATGTCTGAAATTCCTATTTCCTATTCCTATTTTACACCAGTACAGTTCAAGGTTCGATTCCACCTCCAAACAAGGTCTTTATGTATATTGTCTGTATCTGTATAGGTTTCTTCCAGGCGCTCCGGTTTCATCTACTACATGTGTGTGTTGTGTTGTGGGGCGGCACGGTGGCTGAGTGGATAGCACTCTCGCCTCTCAGCAAGAAGGTCCTGGGTTCGAATCCCGGCCGGACCAGGGCCTTTCTGAGTGGAGTTTGCATGTTCTCCCCGTGTCTGCGTAGGTTTCCTCCGGGTACTCCGGTTTCCCCTACCACTAAAAATATGTACAATAGGTCTGGCATGCGCCTCCTGTACTGGCGACCCCGCTCCATCTCTGTGTGGAGTGAGAGGACAAGTGCCCAAAAAATAACAATTGTAAACCGCTTTGTGACTCTGGTCTGTGAAAGGCGGTATATAAATAAAAGCTTACTTAAGCTTACTGCTTGTGAGTGCACCTCTGGGAGTGGTGCACTCATTCACTTGCACTGTCCCAACCAAATAACAATACTATCATCAAATGATTTATTATTATTACTTTACTTTTGAATGCGCTGGAAAACGGCTGCAAGTCCTAAGTAGCTCTGAAACAGTTGTTGTTTTGTGGTTTACAATTTGCATTCTTCTTGCTTTATTCTACCTGGGATGTTGCTGCAATACAGTATTTATGGTTTTACACTGTGCCAGACCAGAGCAGAGAGGATTCATGGTCTGAACCAAGTGGATCAGGCGAAAATCCCCTGGAGTAATGCTAACTGAAAAATGCTAATGAAGCATTTAGCATTTTACTTTGGACTAGAGCAGAAAAAATGGTCCGAACTAAGCGGCTACTCCACCTTGTGACCCGTCCTGCTCCACCCAGCGGCTACTCCACCTCTGCTGCCGTGACCCGACCTGCTCCACCCAGAGGCTTCTCCATCTCTGCTGCTGTGACCTGTAGGGCTGTTGCTGATTATTACTATTGTTAGCTTTTTAGGATGATCAGTTTTATTTTTCCTTTTTGCTGCTATTGGACACCTGAATTTCTCCTACGGGGATTAATAAGGTATCTATCTATTTATCTTGTTTCAAAGAACATGTAAATAGCAAATCAACGTCTGTCATGTCTCACACTGCATAAATGTGTCATGTCTCACACTGCATAAATGTGTGCTTTCTCTATGTTCTGTCTTTTTGACATTTTAGTGCAATTTATATCAAATCTTACTGTTGAGCCTAAACCTGTCTGGTGCCCTGTCTGTATTTGAATTTCACGCCTGTTCTTTCCATTGGCTCTGGTGACCCGGGGTTTATAAGCAGCATACATAGATAAAATTATGATTTGGCAAAGAAGAGTTTTTGTTTCATGTGAATTGCCCCAGGGATTACAGAGAATCCCTGGAAATCAAACATATAATGTTTGATTTTTCAAAGACTGTCCCCACCTCAGCGTGACTCTTTGGCATGTTGTGATGTCACATGGTCACAATCTTTGCGTGATATGATAAACTGTGGGTTTGCGTGTGGTGGAATGATCGCCATGGTTACACATCGGAATGAAATGATGAGTGTGTAAACATGTAATGATTGTTATCTTTTTGTTTGCACCTCGTATGAATGTATATCGGAAATACACTTAGTTGAATACTAAATTTCTTTGGATATGCATTTATATAATTGCACATGGAATTGCCATCAATATTGACCATGATCACAACGTTGTACTGAAAATATCATAACATATTTTAACTTTTTTCTTAGACTAAAAGAGCATTGGCGAGTTACACATTTTGAGAAGATGATTTTGTTCCAGAAAGTAGTTCTACAAATACATATACAATATTGTACTTTGTACAAAATAAGTTACACAATCCTGTCAGTAATTTATGAAGAATGAGGTCTTCCTATGACCTTTTTAAAGTTTAAAGTTTTATCCTCCCATTGTTTCTTCATCATTATTCTTCTGCTTAGATGTAGGGCCCATTCAGGAATGTTGAAAGTGCTTTTTTTGGAGTGGTAGAGGAATTTTATTGTTACAGTATGTGTATGAGAAAGGCAGAAGCAGTCTGTAGCAAAAATGAGAAAATGTAAAAACATCCAAATACCTGCAAGATATCCAATCCATGTGCAACCCATCAGTCTTGTGCCGTGCTGGAAACGCGTAAACAAATTTGCATACACCTTGACTGATGTGCTGTCAGTGCACAGGACCTGCTCTGAGGCAAATCCTTCTGTCATGCGAGCTTCCCACTCTGTACGCGGGTCTCTCTGGCTCATATAAATGGCTAGTTCTGTTATTGCATGATTTGTTGTCGCACAGTCCAAAGAGTCCTATAAAGGGGATCCATCAAGAGTATAAGGTTTTGATGAAATGCTGAACATTTCAAGATGGAGGAAAGTGAAAAAAGATGAACCTTTTCCCCCCTGATTGTGGATTTATGATGAATTCTTTCTGCTGATAGTTTGTCTGCTCACCTCGTGGACTTTCATTCCTGGCCTGTATGTGAAATGGATGAAACTAAAAGCTGTATCTTTTGAAAGTGTATAATATGGATTGACTTCCAGCACTGATTGAACTAGTAATTACATTAAAGTTTAAAATTATTCAAGAAATCAATGAATAACTTTTGCGTGCTGGTTTTGAAGAGTTCGAAAATCCCTTGAAGCATTGCCATAGAAGGACTTCACTCAAAACACACATTTTCTTTGTTCTTTTCAAATGTTGCAAGGTTGTTTACCAGATAGAAAGATCCACTTGCGGTGATTTCAATCCAAAATAAGAATACGCAAAAGAGCAGAGGTCACACGTCTTAAAATAATATGCATTTGACAGAGTAGTCTGGAGTCAGGTGAAGCAAGCGTTGAAGTGGTTTATTTTCTCTGTAATGTCTGGTCCTGTAGACTTCTGAAAAGACTGTACATTATATTCACATACCCCTGAGTCAGACTGTGTTTACATGAGGACATTATATTGAGAGGAAATGTTAAATGTGAATCTTCTTTGGCATAGGGTCTCTGCTCCTGACACCAGTGCTACTGAATGCATTGGCACTTGTTCGTTGAAAATAGGAAATCTTATAAGAACAATTGGTACCATATTTTGGTGGTTGGTCCCAGATGTTCTTGGATATGACCGGTTACAATTGTATATGTATACATTTAAATATTTATTTCTCATTATCATTGACTACAAATATTGGGGAAAAAATATGATCAACGTTTGATATAGCTTCATCTAAACCTCATCAAGTAACATTTTAGCCAAAAATCTTTTAATAGTCAGTGTTTTAATACACACAAAACACATTTCTTCGAACCTTACTTGAACTTGATATAGAGGAGGTCATCTTCTGCTTATTTCCAGTAAATGTTGTAAACGTCCTCGTGATAAGTGGGAGCTACGAGCTGGTTCTAAAGATGTTACTCCTCGTGTTAGGAGTCTGGACATGTATGGTCAAAATGAATACAATTGCCAGCATTTTAAAATAGTGTTACCTAATCTGTAACATGCCATGGTGAAGCCAAAGAACTGCTCCACGACAAAGAAAGAACATGTCCCTGGAGGAATGCAGATGTGTGACTTCCATTAGAAATGTACACGGTGCATCTTTAAGGTCAAACTGTATGAGAAAAGCAATGCAGTTAATATTTATGCCTGACACCTCTGTATAAATATGCAAACCGACCAGGCGGAGGATTGTAGGAATGTGTGGAGAAAGGGCCCAGACTGGTCGTCCTCACACCCACATACAGTTCATAATTTTTAACAACTCCAGCACTGTACACCTTTAAGCAGATGGCAGAAGGAGAGGCTGCATAATGTGTGTGTATGTATGCACACATCGTAGCCGAGATGATCTTTATTAGGTGTAAAGACCTTCACCGCTCAAGCTCACAATAGCACTCTATTAAAAGTTTACACTCGCTTTTATTCTCAATGAGCCTGTGTTTTCTCATTAGCCTTTTGACATCCATCTGCCGAGTTATCTGCCTCTGTTTCCCCGGCTCTTAAGAGCAATAAAAAGGACTTTAAATCCCAGCTTGCACACACTCTAATATCATTATTAGCTTTAGTTTCACAAATGAAATCCGTATGTTGACACGCTTAGATGCACTACATTAATTGAAGCTGCATTTTGAGGATAAAATCTGCTATGTTCAATCATGTGGGTAAAAGTTACTTGGAGGAGAATGGATTTGCAAACCCATTCCTGTCTGTTGAAATTCTTTGGTGCTATGTTGACAGCAGTGATCATAAATTAGCGTTGGCATCTAGGGACAATAATGTGAAGCAGACTTTGGAGAACACAGGGAATTTATAATCTGAATTAAGTTACGAATTAAACAAACTAAAGTTTTTACAACGGACGGCTTTCCAGTCCTGATTATTGCAGTTTCATGTTGTGTTCCGACGTTTTTTATCTGCTTTGTTAAGATAGAAATCAACTTGACCAGAGTTTGACACAGAAGTTTTCTTTTGGATCGTATTTGCAAAAGTCTGAATTGAAAGCATTTCTTAGTGAGGAATGTTCTATTTCGTTGTAGTTTTGGGCTCAGAGTTCTTGTCAAACCACAGTGAATTGTTTGAAGACGCTCTAGGATAACAGAAGCTCGATGGATAACAGGGAGAGGAATGCACAGTCAGGAACAACCAAAATAATGGAGACTTCCAAGAAGGATTGGTGAGTGAAAAGTCGTTAGGGATTTTTAACAGGACAGAGAACATCTTTGACAACTAATGTGCCATGTGTGATACTCCATTAGCACAACACGTTCTTTTAAACGAGGCAAAAAAGAAGAGAGATCAGTGAGTGCTTTGTGTTCACTTCCAGCATCACATGATACCAGTTTAGTCACGACTGATTCAAAACCGCACATGAAACACTCAGGCCACAAGACTCTGACTGTAGAGCAGTGCAGATGCCATTTCGTAAAAACATTTATTGGAAAACTCATACAATTTGGTATACAGTTGGGTTCATAACACATCTACGGTAAGAATAATTATAGATGTCCATTAAAACTTCATGTTACATCAGTAGTTCAATAATAATTTGTGATAAAAGTGTTATTTTATTAAGCAAAATGATTTACAATAGTATGCAAAGTGCTTTGGAAACATAGAGTAAAATCCTGAGTTTTACTTTGGTTTTACCTGCTGACTTAGCAGTAGGGATGTCCCGCTCAGTTCCTAAGTATGACCAGCCCATACTGAGTTCCAATCCGATACTTTGATAACACATACAAAAGAGTGAAGAAACAGATTTGAGATGTCACTTATGTTTATTCACTATTTTGTTCTGCTGCTTGACGCGACCTATCGAGTCACTGTAGCAAAATTATGTCATGCTCTTAAGAAAGATAATGAGAATAATATAACGTGCACTTGGAGAGCACATACCCCACCAACACTATGGATCATGTTATAATTCACACGCTACATTTCAACTCAATCTATCCAGTAGTTTATGTGCAATCCTGCCTATTTACAAATACACAAATACACACAAAGAGACAATAACTGTTGGTTGAAACCATGGGATCTGAACATCCTTACTTAGCATACATAGCAGTATATATGTATCTATTTTCTTAAATGTTGCGCCAATTTTCCATCAATTCATTATGAAATTACAAAAGTGGACTTCAGATTTGGGTTAGTGGCTACAATGCAAAGTCAATAATGAGATGACCACAAACATATTTCACGAACCATTCTCATCCTGTACTTGATTGAGATTATTTTACAAATGTTTCTGTATTGTTTTTCAACTCATAGTCCAGCGCCAAAATCCACCAGACGCAGATCACAAATTAAATTCATAATAATATATTGATGATACAGGCTTGTGAGCCCAATGCACCATCTTCAACCCCCTACCGCTCTTCCCTATTGTCCACTCTTCTCCAAACACAGCATATTGTTGATTTAAGAGTCACGTTTCTCTCGTCTTTTGCAAAGTCTTCGGATGAGCAGCAGTACCTCATCCATCTCCCTTGTGTTATCAGCTCCTGTCCCGAGCCCCGCCCCCCTCAGGCCGTACTGGTCGACTTGTTGGTCAGTCTGGAGTTGCTTTGGTCGGAAACGCGATCGGACACTTTCATCTTCATACACGACTGCTTCTCATCCATCAGTAACTCTGCTGGGAGACACCAGCAGCAGAGACAAGACTAAAACCCAACAAGTGAAACGTTAAACAAGCTTATGATCGATTTGCTGTCATTGATTCCTGCGGGGACTCACCCTGAAGCAGTTCTTGAAACGCTTGCTGACCATGTATAGAGCGATTGGGTTGATGCAGGAGTTTACCGATGCCATGTTGATGCCGATGTAATCCAAAACGAGAAAGAAACTAAAAGAGCCATAATGATTTTTTTATTATACTGCATATTTTCTCACCATGAAATAAACTATAGTGTTTTTACCTCAGAAGTTCGCAGCGATTCGGGTCTTTCTCGTCGTAGATGGTAAGTTTGAGGATGCGACTCAAGTGAAGTGGCAGCCAGCAGAGAGCAAAGACGATAACCAGGCAGAACACTGTCTTGGCCACCTCTCTCCGCTAAAAAGTACAACAGTCTATTTAGAAAGACACAGCTGACAAACTAGTAACAGTACATGCATTTGTCTGCATTTATACGGAACTCAAAAAGAAAATTAGCCCTTCAGTCGCCAAAATAGCATAATTACCGTAATTGCTGGACTATAGCTGAACCCTTTTCTAGTTATTTTAACACTGCAGCCTATGTAGCGATTCAGCCAATGTAAGTGTTTTTAATTTGTTATAATAGCATAATATATAATTTGTTATTATTTTTAACTTGTTATAATAGCACGTTTGCTATTGATCTACAAATGATAATGTAGCACACATTCCTGTTTCCTATTGTGTTTATGTGAACAGCAGAGAGACGACATAAGGAAGTTCAGGTTCACTCGTTTATTTGTGACTAGAATAATCAGAGTGGAGTTTATGTACTTTATTTTGGCGCAAGTTTTAGTAAGGATGGGGTGCATGTTTATTTGATTAATTATTAATCAACAGTGCGTTAAAACACCCGTCATTAAATCATTTTGTGAGCAGTTAAAACAGTTGACTATCTGCTTTGTTTTGCATATATTACAACACAAAAATGAAGGTAGCTTATATTCAAGTGTGGCCTATATGTGGAAAAAAATACTTTCTTTGAAAATGTTGCTGGTGCAGTTTACATACGTTTCCATGCATTTCATTTTCCAGCAAGTACTGTTCCGCAAATTTAGGACACATCAATAGGGCAACATGGCCTTAAACTCGGGCTGCATGATATATCGGAAAAATATTTCGCGATATTGTTGCGTTTAATTTATTTGTATTTTATTTAATTTTTTCTCTTTTAAAGACAACAAAACAGACACACATCAACATTCAACAAATACAACAAACAAACAAACAAAAAAGAAAATATATGCCTTTGAAAGTCATTAATGTTTGTTGTTTGTTTCTTGCATTTCAATGCAGATTGCATTTTTAGGTGAAAGAAAAAAATATTGCAATAATATCGTTATTGCATTACTAAACACTCGAATATCGCTTTAATTTCCAATATCGTGCAGCCCTATCTTTAAAGTTTTCCTACTTTCTTACATGCTTTTCTCGCCAACAGCGTTAATTTTGCTCATGTCAAGTATTCTAAAGCCCCGTTTCCCAAATAAATAATCACTCACATTGGAGTTCAATTGAAACACATAATCAAGAATTTTAACCTGTTTCAGATGATCACTCAGCGCGATCTGGACTCCGTTTTTCTTCCTGAGCATCTCACAAGTCATCAGAGTGTAGAAAATAGCAGTGCAGGCCAAGGGGAGGCAAAAATATGCACCGAACAACCACCAATCTTTTGCCGACTTATAAAACTGCAGAGAATAGTGAAAAACACATGTTTGAGCTTACACAGACATCCTCTCAAGGGTGTGGGCGAGGCAGTGTCGGAAGCAAATTGGCTAAAATGTAAAGTGACCCTTGGTGAAAGAAAGGGGCCCATGGCTGATTGTCTTTGACATGTTGAGATGTATTTGGACATGCATTTATCAGTTGGCCTCAATGGTATGAAAACGCTTTGGTGTTGTTATGTTAAGGTTGATGGAAGACGTAAAAATAACAGGTTTCCAGACACACAACCTATTTTCCTTTGGCTCTGAGTGTTAGAACCTCTTGCAGCTTTAACCGTTTTGTGATTACTTTATGACTTTAAACTCAACCTCACCCCATCAGTGCTTTCCAGGTATTTTATATGCAAAACACATCAGAGAGGTTTTCAGCCCCATTGAGCACAGCACCCCTAATCATTCTGTTTTGTATTTTCCTCTAAAACACCAGTTTAAAATCAATACAATTGAACTGAATTTGTGTGTGAATTATTTGGAGTAAAAGTAAATGACTGAGCCTGGAACCTGGGGCCCTGGAGTGGGGGGGATAACTGGGAGTAATATTATAAATAGTTTCCGAACGTATTACTCATCAGCCCTCAGATGATGTTTTTAAGCCTGTTCCACAAACAATATTAATAATCAAGATACAACAGTGTGTGTCTCTATAGATGTACCTGTATTCTGTGATGGCAACATCATACTTTTGTTTTCTTCCTCTCTGTTCAGAGGCCATTCTGATTCCTGGCATGATGCAATTATTTTTGAGGTTGAAGTATAAACTGGTCCTGAAGTGATTCATTGAAAACCAGTGGGATACAACTTTATTTTTTCCGATTCACATGCCCAGTTGCTGCAATATATATATATATATATATATATTATATAATATATATGAAATATTGATTGAAATTTAGGAACTGCCCTCCTCAGAGGCAACGCCTATTAAAACGTGTCTTGCATATCACCAGAATGATTGACAATTCGGAGGACCAAATGGCCATTAGGGCATTTTAATCTGTTGCGCTTATACTTTCATTGTCTCTGGAAAAAAACAATATATTATGTGTTAATCTCACCCTCATTAGGTCTGTTTTCTGCATTGGATGCAGGAGGCAGATTCGGAGGTGCTCGCCCTTATAGTCCATGGTGATCATGTCAAAGCCTATTGCCTCTGGCACAGCCAGAATGATGGAGATGATCCAAATGAGTGCAATCTCAATGGCCATCCACTTTGGCACTCCGATGCCTTTGATACGGCTCCACGAGGCCACTGCCCGGTACCTGCAAGCATCATGTGAGTTAAAGGACATATTGAAAAAAAAAAAAAAACTATTTTATATATGATTATATATTCAATTTAGTGGAAGAAAATGTTCTCTCTGCTATTTTAGTAGAGATATAAAACAGATCATCTGGCTCTGCACTACACTCTCAATTCTCGAGAAATGTCATGGCTGAATTAAAATGCTTCCTGAAAAGGTAGATGAAGTTAACAAAATCATATTTTTGCTCATGGCATGCAGCAGAATAAGTGAAAAGTGATATAACATTTAAAGATCGACATGTTGGTGCTTGTGAGAAACTATTATAGATTGCAATTCTGCTTAAAGCTGTTGTATATAACTTTTTCACCAAGTACTGTATTTGCTTATCTCCATGCGAATGATTCAGAATTGAATATTTATTGTAATTGTTGCAGAATTGTTGTACTTCTCTTAGCAGTAAACTTGGAGAATGGTCGGTCAATTCTTCATGAATCTTCCTTCATTTTTATCCTTAAGCTGTCATGATTTTTTAGCAATAACTCCCCCACCCACACGGATTCAACAGATCTGGCATCAACCAACTACATAAACACAAGCTACTTTCTGGCAAAAAGGGATGTGTGATTGGTCGTGAGCACAATTATTGACATTTAGAGACAAAGATCTCTCTAAATGTTATAATATCGCCATTAATGGTGTTGGTGTCACCTGATTGCTTTTAGAATTACATTCTCCAAGTATAGATTTTTATGTTACCAATATTGACATTTGTTTTTATCTATACCCAGAATTATCTGATTGTAGGGACTGAAAGTTGCACTTGTTAAAAGGGTAATTTGTTTACAATTAATAATTATAATCATGAGACCTTCAGGGGCAATCAACCTTTTAATAGAACCCATTTTTATGAACTATCATCTTACTACCAGTATCTGATACAAACCTTTTTCTAGATTTAAACACATTTCTGATGTAACATGTGTTTTGACACAAGCTGAAAGGTCTTTCAAGGTGTTGTTTCACCTGTCGATGCTCAGAGCGCAGAGACTTAGGACGGTGATTCCAACTGAAGCTTTCTGCACAAATGGCACCAATTTACACAGAGTTACCCCAAACGGCCAGTCCTCTGCCAACAGCTGTGAACATAAAGCTAAGTTATAAAGGGAATGTGTAACGTGTCATGCATTTACAAAATAACAGTTTGTCTGTTTTTTTACATTGTACTGCATATCATGTGAGATTTGTACACTAGATTCACTCACTGAACCAAACATTTATCTTGACTCACATTTATCTACTCTGACAGTGCTTTGGCTTCTGTGTGTTCTACTTACACTATGTATACTCATGTATACTATGACTACTTCATTAATCCTACCACAATGTAAGTCTTACACTCACCCTGAGGTAAAGAAGACATAACAAGACTTTTTTTAAAGTCACAACTCACACTAATGTACTTAGTAAAGACGCTTCAATGCTTGAATAACAGATTTAGTTATGGTCGACATCCACCAGTATTTTCTACAGTACATATTGCTGAAATGTGTTTCCCAGATGAGAAAGGAAAGGTGGAAAAAAAAAAATGCTGCACTATTTTTCTTATATAGTGGTCTGGATCTCTTCATATCACAGACTGTCTCCTGTCTTTGCTCTGGTATGCACACCATGACCCCTTGTTTTCACTTGCTTGCCCCTTTGGTCAAAAATACAGTCTTTCCAGCACATATTGAAGAAATCCCCCTTTCAGATAATAACATACCAACGACCAATGAGGATATAGAAGGATCAAAATCAATGCAATTCTGGGAAGTCTTTCTTACTGTTGTATACCTGTCCAGAAAATGTTTTTGTGTAGTCTTCAACTTAACTATGTCATGACACTTTGTTAAACTCATTTTAATACCATCATATTAAAGCAATCATGAAAAAATGTGAGGAATGCTTTTCAAATTAATCAAATCTGCTTCCCTCTGTTTGTGTAGTATGAGTTTTAATAATATACAGATGTTTTTTTCTCACCTTGTAGACATTGATAGGAATGCCAATAATGATATGCAGCAAATCTCCGAGGGCCAAGCTACCAATGAGTATGTTCGGCCCATTCCGCATACATTTGTTCTTATAGATGATCCGCAGAAGAGTGGAGTTGCCAATGATGCCGACCACAAAAACCAAACAGGAAACCACTGTGTTGATGTACTTGAACGTGTCTCTGATTTCTGTGGGTCCGGTGCACATTGGCGGCATTCGTCTCCTTGGCATGGTCATGTTGGGCCTGACGGGACCTTGGAGATCCCTCTGCACCAGGCCAGCCCTCTGCGTGACCGAGGGGGGCTGCTGCTGCTGCTGCTGTCCGGTAATTAATATTAGTAGACTGGAAAGGACTAATAACTCCAAGCAGCTCAAATATTTAGTCTTCATTTTGCTGTTTTGTTTTGAGTAAACTCCAAATTTACCAAGGACCTGAAAGAAAAGATAAATTAAAATTTGGTTCCTCTGCAGTCTGCCTCAAAAGTTATCTTTGATTGTTTTAGTCATCTCAAGGTAATACAACATGCAATTGCCTAAATTAAGGTAAAAATTAAATTTCTTGAAGATTATCCGGTTTTCTTACTTTTTTTCCAAGTCAGTTCAGAGGTGCATTCCTCAACTGTCATGGTAGCGATCTCACTTTTTGCTCAGGTTAAACTTAAAGTTGTTTTGGCTGAATATTTATACAGTTTGTTTTACTTTCCTTTTAAATTGCAAACAAGCGTGTGACTTTGGGGAGACAAAACAAAAATCCAAGTCACTCTGGTTTTCTCAGTAAATTTAAAAAGGCTTCTCTAGACTACAAGTTGCAAGTTATTTTCCCACTGTAAAAACTTAAAAACAAAAGTTTTTAAAGCACTAATATTCTCTACAATTAAGAAATGTAGCTTAATCTAATGGTTTTAACCAAACTAAGCAATATCACAAGAAAGGGAATGTCATGCTGGATCGATTGCAAGAAGCAGGTATAAAAAGCGGGTCACTACCAGGGCAGTTGAGGAAATTATAGTAGATTTATTTGAATCAGAATTCAGAAGAAAAAAATGAAAAATGTTTACTCACCTAATTACCAAAAGTTAGTGGCAGAACTTCTCATTAGACTTCCGAACGAGCACATCCAGGCCATAGAGACTGAGCCCTGAGCGGTGAGTGATGCTGAGAGCGAGTCGTCATGTCCCAGAGTCCAGCTGTGGCCCAGATGCAGAGGAGGTCGTCCTGTACTGACTTCAGCTGCAGCTCAGAGCCTCAAGACTCTCTCACCCCTCCTCTTTTTATGCAGAAGAGGAGGACGGACACAGACAGACAGAAGTTCACATGTTGATCTTCTGCTGTTTTCTTTAACTGATCCAATGCACTTACAATGGAGAATTTGTAAAAGCAAGACAACACACAGTAAACAAAGCACAACTGTAGAGTAGATCGATTTAAGTAACATCTTTTGTTTTTTATACCTCTATACAGTATGAGCTTAATGGACAGTTTGTTGCCCTGGCATCAGGTTTTCTAAAGAATGGTTTAATTTCAATAAATCAAAATATGTGTTTCAGAAATCCTGTATTGTCCTGCATTCAAGCCTTTAGTTCTTATAATATAATTACCTTTACCCGCCTATTTCTCTCTACCTGTGACTATTTAAAACAGTACTATAAGTGATATGGCTTATTCCTAAATTCTCCCCAAAACATGATAAAATAGATGGTGGTATAATAAAGTTATTACAATGACAAACCTTTGTTTCCATAATCATTCTACTTGTGACACTTTTTAGCACTCAATCCACTTGAAAAGGTATACCTGTTGACTTATTATCTGGAGACACATATAAAAGATGTGTAATTTTAAATCTTATAAATGGTCCCTTTCAAATCAATTCCTTGTATTTTTTTCTACGCCTACATCTATTATTTGTCAGATCAAACGGTCTCAGTCTTTCTTGTTGGCGAATCTAAGCTGTCATTGTTTTCATCTGTATTTTACTAATTACCGTTTCGTTGTGGCGCCCTGAGACGCCTGTTGGTGAAGTTATGACCGTGGCACTTCGCGTCATGTGGGGCTTGATTCCCTGAGGCTCCACCTTTCTGCCAGCACCATGTCTGAAGCTAGAAAGAGTTTAACCTTAAAAACAACCAGAGTGTGTGGAATATTAAGCTTTGTTTTGATCACTGAGAATTTATTGTAAAAAACAGCTGTTAAAACATACAATAATGGTCTACATACAATTGATGTCCGTCATGGATCTGAGACCAGAGGAAATGTATATCCCGTTAGTCTAGAAGTGATTGAAAGTAGCCAGAAATATGCCTGTTATTCTTTCTGTCTCTCCTTATCCCCAAAACCTGCAAACCTGGGTCCAGTTTTCACAGCTGCATGTGTTTCTCCACAGATAAATCACTGCATACTGCTTTAGCTTTGACCGACATGATACGACACTCAAACATGACACTTTGCTGTTGCGGTGAAAATGCTTTTTGAAATCCTTTGATATAAATCTTCAGTTTCCTGCACCAGTTTCAGCCAGATCCAATTTCATTTCCTTCTTTGACCTGCTCAGAGCTGTTACAAAAACATCAGACTAAGACGCTCATTCTAATAACTAGAGCCTCTTGACTCAGGACCCAAGGATTCAAACATCGTGAGAAAATGTCCGACAAATAATGTTTTCCACTTTGTCAATAGATCATCAATAACAGTCTCATTGTTTTACTGCATTTATTGATCTTTATTTAGCCAGGGAAGTCCCTCTAAAATGGATCTCATGCAGGGCAGACCTGAACATGCAAACTCCACAAAGAAAGTCAAAGGTGTATTTTTGGCGGTATGTCAATATGTCCACCTTTTTTAAAATGATCTTTCTTTGGATCCAGCAACGCCGTATTGTTACAAGTTTAAAGTAGCAATATGTAAGATTTTCATGTCAAGTCAACATTAAATGGCCCTATTCTGTCAAAATGCATTATTAAACCATGCTCTTTTCCAATACTACTTTAACTGATAACAGTTGTTCTGCCGAGATAATTGAATTTCTAAATTAGTTTAACAGCCCCTAAAACTTGTTTTAGTTTTCATTTCGATGTCCCGCCCTCCACCTTTTTACCAATCAGAAAGTGCGTGATCTGGGTTGCCAGAACTCACAGCATCGAGCTAATCTCACTGGTAAATTAACATGAGGCCGCAGAACAAAAAAAGGTTTCGTTGTGATTCTCAAATCATAAAAAAACAAGGAATAAAACGGGATCTTTGTATAAAAGTTGTTTGTTACTGATTTGATGTTGACAAAAAAGATGTTATGGTCCCAGCTGAATTCATATGCATATCTGGCAACCTGAGTCAAGGAGAGTGGGAGAGTGTTCCTCTGTTATTCCCAATAGCATATATTGCGAGAGTTCTTTCCTTCTTTGCTTTGTGTCTGTGTTTTCCTGTTGTCATGTGCTGCTTCATGGTCAAGTCAAACGGTGTGAAGATGACGAAGTATAATATAATAATATATAATTCTCCAACGTCTTTTCAACTGCAATTTCAGAAGCGCTTTTCAGCCACAAATACCACAAATTATCAAGTGCAGCAAGAGAGGAATGTTTCCCTTTGAGGATGGACACTTATCTTTACAAATACAAATATATATAAAGGGAGTAGATTAGAGAGGGAGAATGTACGGAGTTTTAATCTACATTCGTTTTCTAATATTTCAGCTTCCTTTATAGAAATATGTGAAAGGCTTTAAAATTGCCTATTTAAGTGCCATACAAATAAAGTTTCACACCTTCTTGAGCAGATCCCTTTCAAATGTACTGCCAATAACAGAACATGTAGACGATTATAAGTGGAGGAATACAACTTTTTGACGTTTTCAAAAGGGAGATATCTGCTTCTGCAAATGAACTCTTCAACTTGAACTTGAAGCCAAAGTAAAATGAGTCATTATTTGATACAAAACACATACTTGCTCAAGCTCCACTTTTTTAGTGAGTAGAGTAATACAAAAACGGAAAGTGAAAAATAATTAATATTTGCACACTAATAGGTCACAAAGCATTCATTTATTCATATTTTTATTTGATACATGATACGTGAATACTTTCTCAAACGCCACTTTTTTATTGAGTAAGTAATACAAAATCTGTGTTCACACAACATAAACGAATACTTTGTGAAACCTCCTTTTACTGAAAGCACAACGACAGTAATTGTGGAGTATGTCTTGAGAAGCTTTGCGCCTCTATAGACTGAAACTTCTTCCCATTTGTCTTTATAAAACAACTCAAGGTCTGTCTGATTAGATGGAGCGTGTGAGCAGCCATTTTCTTTGTTTCAGCAGTTGTCTTTGACCGGACCATTCTAACATATATTTTGTTCAAACCATTCCATCGTATGAAAAGTCTTTATGTTTAAGGATATTATGAGATGGTAGTTAAACATCCAATTTTTTCCTTATTTCAGCAGATTATCTTTCAATTGCCCTGCTTTTTACTCCATCCATCTTCCCATCTGTAACTCTGACACTCTTCGCTGTCCTTGATGAAGAAAAGCAGCCCAGGGCAAGATGCTCTCAATTTGTTTGCCTCTGGAGATGGTGCACTAATGTGGTATCATCTGACCAACAGTATCCCCCACTTTACATCTGCAGCTTTTTATTTACCACTTACCAGATGTGTTTAGTTTATGACTAATTTTTGTCCAATATTACACATTCACAAGTTCACAGCTCCTCCAGAGTAATTCACAGTCTGTGCTCCAGAGTGATCCTGAGGCACATGGTCTGATAACTGTTGTCCTTGATCAAGCTGTTAGTTTGGGCAGATGGATGTGTCTTGGTAGATCTGCAGTTAAGCCATACTCTTTCCATTCTCAGATGATGGATTAACAGTGCTCTGTGAGAAAATGTACCCCAACTTTATCCCTGACCACTCTGGTGGGCTGCTTAGACTTGACATGATGTTATTCAGTGGCCGATACACTGTAAATGCAGCTCTGAGGCAGAAGAACATCTGTATTTTTACTGAGAGTATATTACACCCAGGTGAGCTCTATTTAGTATTCAGCAGTCATTAGGAAATGATAAAGACGCTAAGTAAAAAACAATCTATTATCAATGCACACAGAGAAATGCTGTGAATTCTTGTGTAGGCCTCACCAAATATTATATATAATTATTTATGAATACAATTATTTTGCTTTGAAACATTGCAAGCCGCTGTATCACCAGCCATTGAGACATATTGGGCCTGTACCAAAACGTA